ACTTACCATGTTTGTTTATTGTCTGTCTCCCCCTCTAGAATCTTAGTTCCAAGGAGGTAGGGAGTTTTGTCTGTTTTATACACTGATGTATACCCAGTACTGAGAACACTGTTTAGCATGTAAGTATTCAGCAAATACTTGAATGAATGAACACTGGCTACCAGACCAGCAAGCAGAAGGTTAGAGAATTTTTCTCCAGAGAAACTTACCTCTCCGTCCAAGAGAAAAGACTCACCTATTTTGATACTTGGAGATCTCCTTGAGCACACTAAGTGGTAATTTTACAAACTTCTTTGAAAAAACACCCACAATAAGAAATCCCCATTTTATGGATCGACTCAGTACTTAATATGTATATATGATGTGTACATATATAAAACCAAAGTTTTACAAAATAATTTTCTTTTTATATGTGATATATTCTGATATAATATTTTCCATTCTATTCCGTCATTTGGGGCGGGTGGGAGGAAGGTTGGTTGCAATTGACTACATTTATTTCACAGACCACTAATGGATTCGCAACCAGAATTTTGAAATATACTGCAGGGTGTCCTAGTTACAAGCCCTGTTATGTAAACAGAGCTTCCAATCAGCTCTCCTTCTTAGCCACACTCTTACATATGAGTGGATAGCCAAGGATCTCCAGACGTTTAAGAAAAGTTTCTAACACAAAAGACAGAAACAAAAACTGAAAAACTCAATGCAGACAATTCAAGAAATACAACATTAGAAATATTCACAGAGAAATAAGATATTGCATCCCCAGATGGAACAGAATGCTATTTAAAGGGTGGGAGGAGGGGCGCCCGGGTGGCTCAGTCGGTTAAGCGACTGCCTTCGGCTCAGGTCATGATCCTGGAGTCCCGGGATCGAGTCCCGCATCGGGCTCCCTGCTCGGCGGGGAGCCTGCTTCTCCCTCTGACCCTCCCCTTCTCATGTGCTCTCTCTCTCATTCTGTCTCAAATAAATAAAATCTTTAAAAAAAATAAAAAATAAAGGGTGGGAGGAAGGGTGGACAAGAAAATACTCTAGGAAACGTAAGACAGGATAATTAAAATGTAAAAATTCCGAAGAAGATTTGGAATATGGAAATCTTTCAGAAAAAAAGAAGTAGAAAAGAGAATAAATGATAAATTATCCTAGGACAAAAACTGTGCAGCAGGCTTAGAGGACAACTAGTCCAGAATGAAGGATGATGACAGACTCCTGGAGGGTTGTCTTCAGTTTAAAAAATAAACTAATAGGCTACCTGATGTGTTTGAATGTACTGAGAGGAGAGTTTTGGATAAATTAATTATAGATAGTTGAGTGCTAGCCACAAGAAAGCATGGAAAAAGAGGCAATGGCTAATTTCAGTCAAAAAACCAATATGTAATATTATGCTAGTGGAACCAACTATGAATAATATATACAGATATAATAATATAATGAGGTTATTTACCTAAGATGATATAGATACACTGAAGGATAGAGAAATAATATATGTGTTTATGAGAGGGCATTAGAGTATATATGCATAGTCTATTTCCTATAGGAAGAAGTAAAATAATAGACCAAACTGAAAAATCAAGAACTAGTTATAAGCATGTTATTAATAAAATTAAAATATACTATATTAGTAAAAATAAATACAAATAATATACTTCATGTATTTGAAAATCTTAATGATTAGAGAGGAGGGACTGTTTTCCTTAAGTGTTCCCTTAGGACACTGGGAAACCAACAATACTGATTTAGCACTACTCTGAAAGAAACTTAAAATTCTCCCTGCTTTGGTACCAAACCTTGTGTTGCTTGGTTATTTTAGGGACTCCAGTAACTTATCAGCAATAGGGGCACCAGCATCTCTAGGAACAGACAATACTCTGGCCCTATACATTGTTGTTATCCAGGTGGGGACCAGCAAGTGATGTGGCATACACACGTACATGGCTTTACAGGAAGTGGAGGACAGAAAATCTCACTAAAGAAGGTCAGGTAGGAGGAAGCATCCTGGCCAGGCACATGGTAAAGGAGAAGGCTCATATAAGACATTCCTGGGTATGTTCAGAAATAGCTGAAAGAAACTGTGTGTGTGTGTGTGTGTGTGTGTGTGTCCCCTCCCATAACCACTAAAGGCACAATCCAAGGAAACCATCTGATGCTGTGCGTGCCTCTATTTGTTCTGGACTGGCATGGCCTGGGAAAGTGCTGAGTAGATCAGGTAGGGTGGAAAAATAAGAAGGGGACATCCAAAAAGCTGTTTGATCACTGGAGGGGAAAGGGGATGAGGGGGCTGCAGACAGAGCTGCTAAAACCATGGTCCCACATACATGGAACTGTTGTCCCTTCTGCTTCCTAACCTTCTGACTTCCACACTTAAATCCCCCACCAGGGAATTTTTCAGGCCTCACAAAGAAGTGAGAGGGCCCAGTCCAGGTGGGAGGGTGCCCCTGGACCTGTGTCACTCCTTAAAAAAGAATGAAGTAGGAAAACAGTCACAGGGAAGCAAGGAAAAGGGAGAGGAAGAGTGGGTACTAAGGGAAAAGACCGGGTGCTAAGTCCACTTTGCCTATAAAAAGAACACTGATGTGGCCTGTAGTTCTAGGAAGACCCGAGGTCAGAAATCTCTCCTCTCCTGCCTACTATGGTGACTCAGATCCCATCCATAGTTCTTTGGGCTCAGCATCACCTTCTCATGGTCAGAAAGGAACCATGTAGGGACTGGTTCTTTGACAAAACCCTATGAGCCCCTCCCATTCACCTTTTCCCTTCTCTGGGTCCCCACAAACATTGGTTTTTACAGTATCCCAGTTTCGGGGCACCTGGGTGGCTCAGTGGTTAAGCATCTGCCTTTGGCTCAGGTCGTGGTCCCAGGGTCCTGGGATCGAGCCCCGCATCGGGCTCCCTGCTCAGCAAGAAGCCTGCTTCTCCCTCTCCCCCTCCGCTGCTTGTGTTCCCTCTCTTGCTGTGTCTCTCTCTGTCAAATAACTAAAATCTAAAAAAAAAAAACCAACAACAAAAAAACCCAAATCCAATATCCCAGTTTCTAGGTACAAAGATAATAGGCAAGGCCCCTGCCCTCAAAAAGCTCACCATATCTGAGTGGAGGCTGGGAATATAGAGGCAGATATGAAAACATAATTTTACTATAGTAGGGTTAAGTTATGAAATATTTGCACAAATACAGAAGGGAGTACACTTAAGTAAGGTAAGTCTTTCTAGCTTGGAAGACCCCTGACCTAAGCGGAAAGTGTTATTTAGGTGTGAGCAGGGCAGAACAAGAGGAACTTACCTCTTTACTTCCCTTGTTTTTTTTTTTTTTTAAACCTCTTTATTTCGATTGCATCACCTAAAATTACTTTCATTTTTTTGGTGGACATGGACCTCCCCCAAACCCTTGGCTCTGGCTGTGCAGCAGGCTTAGACGCCTTTCTCCTTACCCAAGCCTGAGTCTTCATTCAGTCTCCAGCCAGGCAACCATCTTACAGTCACACTCCACTCATGGTAGCCATCTTCTATATTCTAGGACAGTGATGCCTAACATAAATACTACATTCTCTAGTAGCCACATTTAAGAAGTAAAAAGAAACAAATGAAATTATTTTAATAATATATTTTATTTAATCCAATGTATCTGAAATATTTCGACCTTAAAATAAAAATACTGAGTTTTTTTAGGGGTATTTTTTTGGACTAAGTCTTTGAAATCCAGTGTATATTTTACACTTACTCAATTCTGACTAGCCACATTTCAAGTGCTCAATTACCACATGTGGCTGGTGGCTACTGTACTGGCCAGTGTAACTCTAAAATTCTGCTTCTATGATTATACTTGGTAATTCTCCATTAAACAGATAAGGCCCATCAGACAGAGGCATTACTATATATTTACTTTAAGCCTCTGTACTCCCAGTCAAGGCCCTGAGAAGAATTTTGAAGAAGAAAAGGCCTATGAGGTTTTAGCCAGAGCGAGCACTCCCTTTAAATGTCAGACCTGGACAATTAACCCTAAGTTGATCCCAAACTTGCTTTTAGCAATCACAGATCCACAGTGCCTCACAGACACATTTAACTCCAAGGGTCTCCAGGTTGTTCTCTGGCCAGCAGAACACCCACAACAAAGACTGGATATCTCACTAATCTGACTACCTTCACAGGGCAGCCTGGAGGGCCTTTGATGAAAGGGCATCCGTCCTACCCCTCTGGTTCTGGTTGGGACTAGGCACCACTTGCCACTTGGGATTGAAAGGGGCTAAATACATTTGGCACAATATCAGACACCCTGTGTTAGATTCTGGCATCAACAATAATCACGTGGGAGGGGCACCTGACTGGCTCAGTCGTAGAGCACGCGACTCTAGATCTCAGGATCCTGAGTTCCAGCCCTATGCTGGATACGGAGCCTACACAAAATAAAAAATTTTAAAAAAGGCAAAGGAAAAAGTCACACGGGAGAAAAATATTAAAAAAAAACCTAATGAAAACATTTCTGCAAACTAGGAAAAGAACTACCTTTAAGTTTTCTTTAAAGAAAGAAACGTGGGTATTTCATGGGAGAATCTAAGTCCACAGATAGGAGTTCAATCTCTTCATAGTGAACCAAGAACCAGAGGCCCATAAAAGGTTAAGTGTTTTGCCCAAGGTCATCCAGCACATCTGTAGCGGTGGTGATGAGCTCTGTATCCTTTCCACTATCCCGCTCCACACTATCTTCACTCACTGAAAAATATTTTAATTGGAGACACTGTGCCATCTCCAGGGTCTTCCTCAATTACCTGCAGAGGATGACCCGCACCAGGAAGACCGGTCAGCGCTCCCCCAACTCTGACTCAGAGGCCAGCCGCCCTGAATAGGATTGTAGCGCCGCAATTCCCCACCTTCTGGAGTCCGGGCGGAGGAGGCTACTAGGGCGGTTCTTTGGCCAACTCCACACCTTCCGGAGCCTGCCCGGGCCCGGCCCGCCCAGCCGCGCCGCTGGGCCCAGGTCCTGCGCCTGTAGGACGTGCCGCCCTCTCAAGCGATCCCTGGGGCTTCGGCTCCCTCCAGCCTCAGGGGTCTGGCAACGAACGGCTCCGGCCTCGCAGGGGTCGCTGGAGGCTCCCGTCTGAGATCCCCGGTTTGCTGGGCGTCTCTCTGGGCGAGAGCGCTTCCCAGGGCACCGGCGGCCCACAGCCCCCGCTGCTTCTGCGCCCAAGAAAGAGCCTCGCGCCTCAAAGCTCTGCGGGGCCGAAGCTGCCCGGCCAGTGGCGCCCCCTTCGTTTTCCCCGCCCGAGTGTCCGCCGGGCAGGCGCCGGCACAGCGCCCCCTCCCCGCCCTGCGCACCAGGAACCGTTTCCGGGGCGGATGCTTTTTGTAGCTGACCCCGCGCGGCCGGTGACGCCAAGGCCCAGACGGAAGTGCGGGCGGAGGAGCCCGAGCCGGAGCCGGAGCCGGAGCCGGATCCCGAGCCTGAGCCCCCGCCGGGAGCAGGTCTCGGGGGCTCCGGGCTGTGGGAGCCGCTGGGCCTGGCAGCGATGGCGACCCTGTGGGGAGGCTTCCTTCGGCTTGGCTCCTTGCTCAGCCTGTCCTGCCTGGCGCTCTCAGTGCTGCTGCTGGTGCAGCTGTCAGACGCCGCCAAGGTGAGTCCGCCCAGCCTTCGCTCCAGACAGGAGCTCCTCCCCTGCCCCGGCCTTGCGGAAACTGAGTCGGCCAGCCTGCTCCCCACCCCATTCCTCTTCCAGCCCTGCCGGCCGGACCCCTAGCTTCACAGCTCTTGCAGCATCCCCACCCAACACCCTACTGCCTGACAGCACTCTCGCCCTCCAGCCCGGACAGTCTGACAGCCACTGCCCCCACGGCCACCCGTAGCCCTGACACTACGCCCCTCTTTCCCGCCTGATACCCCGCCCCCGTCGCCAGCTCCACCCATCACAGTGCCCACAGCCTGGACAGCAACTCCTCCACCTCCTAGACATTTCCCTTCCCAGCCCCGACAGCACCCACCTCAAACTTTATAACCTTTCCAACTCTGAGAGCCTTTAACTTTCCACCCTTAAGCTCCTTAAGTCTACCGCCGCCCTCCACCTGTCTCACAGCCAGCCTTCTTCCTGCCCCGCCCCCATTCCCTAAACCAAAATTACGAGAAGCCTCCAGCCGGCGGAAATCTTCCCGGTTAGGAACTAACTCATTTTAACTCATCCCTGAACTAGTTCCCTTCCCAGTGTAGGAACTTGCCTCTCCTGGCAGCCTTCCTTGCCAGTGGGACCTACACAGTCTCACCAGCCTAATATCCTGACCTAACTCCCTCCAGGATCTCTTGGCCCCTTTTTTGCCTTCTTTCTTCCTGACATTTTAGTGGGGAAGGAAGGGTCCAAACTACAAGGGAGGTAAAGTTGTAGCCTTCTCCCCTGCTCCACTTCTTGGCCCATATAGCCTCCTCATGCTACTCTTTAGTCCCCTTCATGCTCCTACCCTCCACACCTGCTCTGCCCCCGTACACACTTGTGCTTCCTCCTTGATGAGCTAGTTCCTTACTGGGGAAAACAGAAGGAATTCACACTAATATGATGGGAAAACAGAATGAAATTGCATCTTTTAAAGGTAGGAGCTTTAATCTAGAATATCTTTAAATACAGGGGCTGGGAAAGACAGATTAAATGCAGACAGATCAGGGAGTTTTGATCGGGAGTTCTTTTTGAAATCTTTCCTACCTCCCACCAGAAATAGGGACAAAAGCAAGTCTCCTGTCTTTCAAAACATTGCTGACATCCTCTGCATATCTCCTGTCATCACTTGAAGAGTGTATTGTAATGATGTGTTTATCTGTCAGTCTCCATTACTAGGGTGTGTCCTCATTACTGGCAGGAACCATGTCTTACACTTATCTGAATCCACTTCATTGAGCACAAGGTCCAGCACTGAGCAAATGCTCACTAAGTGGCTGCCGAATTGTCAACAGCTCTGCCAGACATAGCACTATATATAGGAGCAGTGGGCCTTGTCCTCTGGGAACTAATGAGCCACTTGCCTTCTCAGATAAATCCCCTTTGCTGATGAAGCTTCTCCTATTCCCTGTACTCATATATTTAGTCACCTCTTTCTCCATCTCTTGAAACTTGCTTTATCAGTAGTTATCCTCTCTGTCTACCAGGGATTAGAAGCAAAGTTTCCTGGGAAGTGTAGACCAAACTGATCTCAGCTAGACTCCAGCTACTTCCCTTGTATATTTCCTTTCTAAATATAGCTGAGTGTCTCTAAAATTTTCACCCCTTCTGTAGAGCTCTGGTCCGACCCCCTTTATCCATATTAGCACCATTCTACCAAAGGGTCGAAGGATGGTGTTTAGAAGAATTGTGACTTGATTTGTGAGTAATTTTTAGTTTGATTCTTCCCCATCCTTTTGTAATTGGATTCTTATTTGCAGGCACAGTTTTCTGTCTACTGTGTCTTTTTACTGGCAGGTAGATGGTGGTAACATTAGCACAGTTGGACTGTCATGTGACCTATAAATGTGATTAATAAATCACAGATCACCTACAGGTATTATTTCAAAATAATTTTATGTAATATATAATGATTCATTAGCATTACCAAAAAAGAAACTATGACCTTTAAAAACTTTTATCTCTCAAAACGAATAGTTTTAGAATATTTGGCAGGGGATGCTTAGCAAAATGTATATGGTGCAGTTTTTAAAAAATATTGATGCTAAACTGTTAACAAGCTATACTAAGTTTCCATTTTGGTTACAGAATTTCGAGGATGTCCGATGTAAATGTATCTGTCCTCCCTATAAAGATAATTCTGGGCATATTTATAATAAGAACATATCCCAAAAAGATTGGTAAGTATTTTAGATTACTGAATTACCTGTCAGAGTTCTTTTTGTGGTTGTCACTGTTAGCCCAGAATGTTCATCCAATGTATTGTTTCCTTTTTAAATACAGTTGACTCTTGAACAATGTAGGGCTTAGGTGTGCTGACCCTGGCACAGTCAAAAATCTGCATATAACTTTTGACTCCCCCAAAACTTAACTGCTAATAGCCTACTGTTGACCAGAAGCCTTACCAATAAAACAGTTGATTCACACACATTTTATATGTTAAATGTATTATATACTGTATTCTTAGAATAAAGTAAACTAGAGAAAAGAAAATGTTATTAAGACAATCATAGGAAAGAGAAAATACATCTGCCATACTGTACTGTATCTATTGAAAAAAATTTGCATACAAGTGGACCCATGCAGTTTAACCCGTTGTTCAAGGGTCACCTGTATTTCTTTTTAAGTGTGTCAAGCTCCACTTCTATTTGAAAAAGTGAGAGTAAGGCCCTGAGTGTGTGATGTAAATGTAAAGGAATATAGCCAAAACACTAAGCCCCAAGTAGGGAGGGTTTTATAAGGGACAGAGCTGAGTTTGTGGCACCTACACTGCCCATAGCTACCTTCCTGTGCCCTCTTAAATTTTGTCTCTCTTGCTTTTCAGTGGAAGGTAAGCAAGCCTCATTTATCTGGGTTATAATTTTCACAGCTTGTAGGTTTTGATGATATATTGCCAAATACAGGAGACTATGTTTAAAAGTGTCAAAAGGCTCAGGAAGGAATGGGAATGGGCCACGTATATCCTAGTTTTCCCTGTTGGTGTGCCGTGGATATAGGTATATCAAGAAGTTGCTCCCTCAGCTCTTGGAGTATCAGGCAGGCCTGTGATGACTGGGATCTTGACTCACTAGTCACCAGCAGTCTTCTCTATTTATGGATCTTACAAATGATAGCTTTTCTACATATAGCATAAAAGATTGGGAAGCAGTTGGTTTGTAGCAGGATGGATGGGCTCCTTCTCATGAATTGTGATGTTTTATGGTTTGTAAACATGGTAGAATATTGCTGGGATAGGCATATAAGAAGAATAGCTCCAAATGCTAGGAACTTTCACATGTACCTGATTTCCCTGCTAAATAGCCAGCAAAACTTTGAAAGCAAAATTAAATTCATTTGGTTACAATATTTCAAGTTGACTTTGAAAAAGAAAAGGCAGCCTTTGAGCATGTTTCTTTTTTCTTTTCTTTTTTCTTTTCTTTTTTTTGAGCATGTTTCTTTTTTTCTGATGCCATTGTCTGTTCTTCCCATGGTATACATTTAGATTCAATCTGATATTTGATAAGTGTATTCTTGAAAACGTCTTCTGAACTTTTGTGCTCCACTTTAAATTGTCTCATACTACAAAGTGATTTAGCTATATTATAGATTGTATACCATCAAGTTACTTTTATGATACAAGAAAGCTCAAATAAGTTTTTAAGTTATTCCTATACATTTTCCAAATACACTCACTAAGTGCTTAAAATTAGTTTAATTTATTATCAGTAATAGAATGTAATGCCTATTATTTGAGTGGCAGGTGAACTCACTGTTCAAGTGTTTAGCACTAATCTTTTCACTGACTTTTTATAATTCCAGGTTCAGACAGAACCATATGCCATTCACTCTGGTTTTTGGTCCAAATAGGGAGCTTTGAAAAGAAATAGTTGAAAACAAGGCTTGTTTGCGATTTTTCTTCCCCCTCTCCCGTGCTTCCTTCCTGCAGCTCAGCCTTTTACTGGAGATAGATTCTCAGCTGTTAACTTGTTTTAGAAGGGTAAGCAGGTTATGATTAATTAGGATGTTATGACTTTACAAAGCCTCCAATATCTATTTGGTCCTAGATACAGTTTTACCTTCTGGCTTCCATTTTGTCCCATTGTTAGCTTTAATTCTTTATTGACTTACGCTGTCTGACAGTAGAAAAGTTTGAGTTCTCTAGTTTGTGTTTGAGGTGTGATGTTAGCTGATAATATCCTTGTTTTGGCACTAGGGGGAGGTGTTGCCTAGTTCCCAGAGTGGTTGAGTTCTGTGTCTAAGTTCTGTGTTTTTGGCTAGCTGGCCAGACCAACCTTCCTCTCCCACCCTGCACAACTTTTGCACAGCACTCAATATCTCCTTGTTATTAAACTGTATCTGTACTTAAACAGAAACACTCAGTACTCAACACTTAGCTCCCCAAGTAATTCCTAGGTATTGTTATGAAGGCTTCTGGAGGTGAATTGGGAAACAGGGAGATAAGTCTTATTTTCCTGAGGTTCAGAGAGCTACAGGGGAGCCAACCTAGGCGGTAGGAACCCTGGGTTCTGGTCCTTTTACCTTCTAATCTACTCTGTGACCTTGTACAGGTGACCTCTCTGAAAGTATATTGGCCTAGATGACCTCTGTGATTGAGTGGGATTTAATTTCCTCTGCCCATTTTATGCCTGCATCCAGCTGGATACATTACTGGTTTTCTTATATGTTTGCAACAGATAACACAAACTTGTATGGTGTGAGTTGTGGGACCTTACCATACCACCAGTTGAGGCTTATTTTTTTGTTAGTATTGTTGTTAAAATTAAATTACCTGTTAGGGATAACTGATTGAATTTTTATCATTTATGCCATTTTGGGTTTTCTCTCATTCCACGGCTCAGAAGGACTGGAACACAAAAAAGTAGATTTTGCTGGGCAGAGGGAAAGATGTAGCCTAGAGCACTGGGTGCCCCCAAGAAAGGTGGGTGGAATGAGACAGGATGCTATCAGTTCTTCAGACAGCCAGAAGTGCCTGAGGAAGAGATGACAAAAGAAAATTGCCCAGCAGTTGACAGGATAGGAGAGTTTTGCCTACATTTGCTGAAGGAGAACAGAGTAGTAGGCTCTTAATAGTTGGGGAGAGTCATAATTTAATTATTTCCTAGAATTGACAGATTTCTGGGGAAAGATTTTTTTGATGGAATATCTTTTTTCATAAGCCATAAATAAGTGGCCTAGAAAATGGGGAAAAAATAAAGAACATCCAACAACAAAAACATTTAGCCTTTTATTATTTTTTATATACTTCTTCTGGATAATCAGTTTTCAATTTTAAATATTTCTGTTGTCATAATCCTATTTCTTCATGTTTTCAATAGACTTTTACTCATTTAGAAAGGTAGTTGTTTCTTTTCTTTTTTTTTTTTTTGAAAAGTAATTGTTTCTTACTGCACCTTTGAGTGCTCAGTTTCCAGAGTTTCAGAATTTAGCAGCTGTTCAGTGTGATTAGCCATTCATATACCACTCTGTGGCAGTTAGGATTGATGTTAATTCATAAAAGAGATAATCTCATATTTGAACAATGCCCCAAGATACTTTAAATCATTTAAAGCAATTTTTTTCTTGGTAAATGAACAAGTCTAAATATAACTTGATGTGCTAAGTAGTTTTTGATCCCATCTGAGACTTTTCAGGTGCATTTTTAACTGTTAACAGCAGCAGTTTTGAGAATAGCTACTGCATATGTGTCTTTATGGTTCTTAGACTATTAAATCTCACCCAATTGCTAATACTGAGAGAGCAAATGATTTCATTTCCCTTATTATTTGTTCCTTGAATTCTTAAGTTCAGTGATTATTCTGGATCTCAGGAAAGTTTTGATCAGTATAAGTAGAAAATCCAGGTAGGCTGAAGCAATATTTTATCCTTGTTTTTTCAGCGATTGCCTTCATGTTGTGGATCCCATGCCTGTGCGTGGGCCTGATGTAGAAGCATACTGTCTACGCTGTGAATGCAAATACGAGGAAAGAAGCTCTGTTACGATCAAGGTAAAAAAAAAAATTTTTTTTCATCTCTTCTGCTTCTGGAATAGTTTTTGATGGTATCTAGACAAGAAAGAAAATTTTGGACATCTGAATTCTATTTCATTCACTCAACCACTGTTCTTCCCTCCCCTCCCCATCATCCACTACCCCCTTCCTTCCTCATCCCCAGTACCAGCCCCAGAGGAACAGTGGGTCTGTTTCTGCCTGCCTTATTGAGATGCTTTGTGGATTACTTAGGACATGTTACATAGGTGTGATATGTGAAATGGCACAAAAATGCCCTGTGTGAAATTCGCATATCCTGAAATATATCCCAGCTTTTCTGTGGACCATGTATGTCAGAAGCTAGTGAGAGTACAGCATGACTAGGTGCTTTTCTTCCTGCCCTCTCAACCCTTAGGGAAAAAAATAGACTATTCTAGAAATATCACTTCTGGATTCTAAGATTTCCTTTATTTTTTATAGGAAATAGAATGTAGATCACTCTCATCACCATTTGGACCTCTAATGAGTTCAGTTACTTAATTATGGTGGCTAACAGTTCTTCTCCCCAGTTTTTTTATATGGAGCTTCCCATTCATTCCCCCCTCCCCCAAGAAAAGCCCTCATGGAGAATCTGGGGTGGTCAGCTGTAACAGTTACAAAGATTTCTGTGGGAGAGTTCCTGCTCCAGCAGGGTGCTGTCCTGTAGAAAAATCCTCACTGTACTTCTTTATTTTTCAGCTAAGTTTTTGATGTGTAATTTCAGACCCTAAAAGTCACTCATTGTAAGTGTACAATTGAATAAATTTTAGGAAATTTAAAACAATTTTTAAAAATTTAGTGTTAAAAAACATTTCCATCACCCCAAAAAGATCCCTCATGCCCATTTACAGTGAATCTCGTTCCCTCCCCTAGCCTTAGACAATCACTATTCTGCTTTGTGTCTCTACAAATCTGAATATTTCATATAAATAGAATCATACAACATGTGGTCTTCTGTGACTGGTTCCTTTCGGTTAGCATAATGTTTTTGAGGTTTATCCATGTTGTAACAAGTTATCAGTATTTAATTCCTTTCTATTACTGAATATCATTTTATTGTATGAATATAACATATTTTCATTATCCATTCATCAGTTGATAGACATTTGGGTTATTTCCAGATTTTTACTATTATGAATAATGCTATCATAAATATCTGGGCACATGTCTTTGTGTCGATATATGTTTTCCTGTCAGGTAGATTCCTTAGACAGGTAAGTTTATTTTAACTTTTTAAGAGACTGCCGACTGTTTTCCAAAATGGTTGTCCCATTTTACATTCCCACCAGCGATGTGTGAGGGTTCAGTTTTGCCACATCCTTGCTATCATTTGGTACTAATTATAGCCATCCTAGAGGTGGTGGGAGAAGGGTGTCACACTGTACTTTTTGACAGCATATGGATTAAGATCTCAGGAAAATCACTGGCCTGAAATGTATTTTTATATATCTAAATTAATCTAAAAGAGTATTCTGTGGAAATTCATCTGAATTAAATTTTTTGTTAGGGTTCCTTTAAATTGTCTAAGCACATGCTGCTGAATCTAGGAGACTGTATTCAGGTAAAAAAAGAAAACTGGTGTGTGAGCAGTGGTGACAAATGATTTGCAGTAGGTGAGGTTGGAGTTTTGAAGACTCATAATAAGATCCCAAAGACAAAATGCTTTCTTTTCTCTTTTTCTTTAAATAAGATTTTGGTGAAAAGTTGAGTTTGTTTACGTTGGAATCTGGTTTGTATAGGAATCCTATATGCTTAGCAGAAAAATCAGTCTTCACTGTGGCTTCACTCTTATTACACAAAATTCTGATTTCTTGGCTTGAATAGAGATGTAACTTACTTTCAACTTCCTTTAGGTTACCATTATAATTTATCTCTCCATTTTGGGCCTTCTACTTCTATACATGGTTTACCTTACTCTGGTTGAGCCCATACTGAAGAGACGCCTGTTTGGACACTCACAATTGATACAGAGCGATGACGATGTTGGGGTAAGTACTTGGCATGCCCCAGCTGGTGTATGGCCAGTCTCTGTCATCACCTGATATAAAGAGCAAGTGAAAAATAGTTGCAGATAGATGTTCATGTGCTGGAGCAGATCCTCAACTAGAGAAACTAAGGACTGTTTTAATTTAGTATATGTCTCTTCATGAAGAAATTGCTCTGGATAGCCATCAATATGGTGGTCTAAATTGATCGTTGGTGACTATACTGTACAAGGCTTTGCCCTTTAGTATCAAGGACACAATGTTCATTGCCTTTCCCTGTTTAAACTCAGAAAAGCTTCTGAGATAGATTTCTCCCCAAGCTCCTGCCTGAATACCATTCCTGTCAACATGACCAAATATATAGAAGGCAAAGAGGCTTAAGTGAAGGGAAGCATGAAGACAGTGTTCTTTTCTTAATGAAGTGCAGCTTGATAACCTGCTGATGTTTTAGATTTCTTTTCTCCTCCTTCTTAAAAAATCTGATTTTTAGAGAAAAACAAAACCATCATTCCCGCTTCTCTTCCTGTCTTAAAAACACATTTCTATTTATACATATAGTTGGTATAATCAGTGTATAAATTATTTTGTGGTCTCCTTTTTGTATTAACATTACTTCTTTAAAAAATGTCTGGTAATTAAAAAAAAAGATGTCTGGTAATTGACATAGTCCACAAACTTGTTATTCAGTATAGTTTAGAATTATATTGTTTTGTCATTAACCTGTTTGGGCCTATTTTCAAATTTTCTACTATTTTAGTATTCTATATATAATTATTTTTAGAAATTACTTTTTATTTTGGATTACTTTATTGGCCTACGTTCCTTAAAATGGATAAAATTCAATAGAGTTTCAAGAACCGATTCCGAAAGCTAAAGCCAGGGTGAACCCTTGCTAACTATAGTCAGAAGTCCTTTTACCCTGGAATGGCTTGTGGACCTGTTGATAAAAGATGGGAAGAGGAAATCCTGACTGGATGGCTGGAGTTATTACTACAAACAGAGCCTGCTTTTTGATCAATACATTGTTATTTTATGACTATCAATTATGAATAGTCAACTTATTTGGGCAAGATTTCATTTATGTTTTGTCAAGAACTTTCATAGAAACACCTCTGTTTGCCTCTTTTTTCCTTCCTTATTAGTTCAACCAACACATAATGAGTAACTTTTCTGTATCAGGTCCTCTGCTAGGTACTAGGAATAGAGAGATAAATAAAATAAACAGACATGTAAAAGAAATGACTAATTATAGTATGTTTCCACCTTTTATTTTTAATCATGTAAGAAATACCTATTCATTTTTGAAAAGTATCAGGAGGGAATTATTGATAGGCTGGGAGAAAGGTCAAGACTAGAGATCTGATGTGGTCAAAAACCAGGCATATGGGGCTAATGAGGAAAGAGAGCTAGAAGGACAGGAGGTTGTGTACCAGAAGCATTAGAGTCTCTAGTACTGTTCCCATGTTACTTTTCATTCACATATGACAAACCGGGGGAGTGGGAAAGGGAGAAGCGGGCTTCCCCGTGGAGCAGGGAGCCTGACGCAGGGCTCGATCCCCGGTCCCTGGGATCACGACCTGAGCCGAAAGCAGACGCTTAACAACTGAGCCACCCAAGCGCCCCTGTAAAGGATATAGTTTAAGTCAGACTTTCTATCTATCCATGTGCCTATTAAGAAATAGTTTATGGGGGGGCGCCTGGGTGGCTCAGTCCTTAAGCGTCCCGCTCCGCGGGAAGCCTGCTTCTCCCTCTCTCCCACTCCCCCTGCTTGTGTTTCCTGCCTCGCTCTGTCTCTCTCTGTCAAATAAATAAATAAATAATCTTAAAAAAAACAAAACAAACCTTATCCTTTACAGTATTAAATATTTGGTTCCTGATTTTAGAAATAAACAATATTAATGTAATGCACATAGAACATAAAAGAAATGGATGCACAAATATGTAGATGAAAACATGTAGGAAAGGCATTTGATTGGTGGGGTCATGTGCTTAATAACCATTTTGTTCACCAGTGATAGATTCTGTGCATATATTAACTGAAAACATTATCTCTGAGGGTCCTGGCTGACTCTTGAATATCAGTTGAATTAATTCTGGGCAGAGAGAGGTTTCCTAACCTCTGGCTGTGAATTTATGGTAACAACTCTGTACAAAAAAAAGTTAAATTTAAATTCCTACAATTGTTGCTTATCTTAACATGAGAATTCTTTACTATTTATCTGCTTTTAAAAATGTTTCTGTTTAATTCTCCGTTAAATCCTTTCATCTTGTTTCATTTTTGTTCATTGTGGAGCATTTTAAATCAAGTGAGAGTTAGTACAAATAGTTAAGAAGCTCACTGCAAGCAGTCACAATATTTATCGTATCATATATCCATGACACATCATTACTATTATCAAAGCATTACATTAAAACATGTTTTGTGTTTATTGTAATTTTATCAGGTGTAAAAAGAACAAACATATAAAACGGGTAAATCTCTATTTGCATTCTTCTAGCATCCATGACCACGAGCAGCTAGTTCATTCTTGTTCTGATAGGTGGTAGGTGGAAAATGGATAAAAGGATTAACTGGTTTGTTTAGTCCTTTAAATTTGTTCCTTAGGGAAGTTTTGCTCCCCCTACCTTGAAGGGTAGATAACAGGACTATGAAATTGAGAGCTGCTCTGCTGAGAAAGTACATCCTTCCTCCCAGTCTTGTTTATGTCAAAACAAACTAATGGTAATACTATTTTATATACAAGTTCACCGGAGCATTGTATTCCCAAAGAGTCATTTTAATCCACTTGAACAAAATCAGTGTGTTGAGATGATATGACATCAAGTCAAGGTGAGTTGAGCTAAGTCCTGTGTTCATTTCTTAGATGACCTTGGATCAGTTTATTTCCTTATGGGAAATCAAGTAATCCAACAACTTTAGCCTTCCTCGTTCCTGACTTTTTTTTTTTTATTAAATCTTTGAAACATTTTGAACTTTATGGAATTGTTTTAATTATTTTCATTTGTAAGGTTAAAAATAAAAAAAATGGGTCTTGCTGTTTGCCTGTCTTGTAACAAGTTGTTACCTAAATTAAGCAAAAATTTGAGAAAATTTCGTTAAAGAAGGCAGGGAAAGATCCCTTATAGAAAACTTTTTGATGTCTTTGAAATGTAGACATTGTATAAGTGCCTTACTGTAAAAAGAAGACCAGGTGTTGTAACTCCACATAGTTAAAGTTGTATATATAGTTATGTGGTTGTGTATCGCTTTCCATAGACATGCTGACTCCTGCCTTGGATGTATAATAGAACTTCTGTAAACATGCACAGCAAAACAATATTCTTTCTTTGAGGCAAGGTTTAATGTAAGAGGTACAACTTGTGACTTGGATCCTATGTTGGAACATTTAGAAGCTTTGTTAACACAGGGTTCAGGAAAAAGAGATCAAGGAAAGGGCAAACAAAAGCAATAAATTAGTATTGAATCCTTTTTGTCATTTAGGCAGCTGTGTTTATATCTCATTCATAGATAGATTAGCATGGTGGTTTCCTGTGTCATGACTACAAACATCAGTGGCATTAGTTTACTTTGACCAGGATAGGTTGGTTTTCTACACAGATACCTGGGTAACCCCTCAATAGCCTCTTTCTTAAGGCAGCAACTAACATGGAGGCCCCTGAGTGCTCAGCAGTGAAAGATTCAGGTGTTTATCTAATAAAAATGCTGAAGTAATAAATCCTTACTGTCCTTGGTAATAGAGAGTGATTGTAGCACTTGAGTTGTGTGTCTTCATTACAGACTGGGGGAGGGGGAAATGAAAAGGATCTTGGAAACCAGTCCACTTGGTGTATGTGTTAAAGGTGCAGGGAAATATTAAAACCAGTCAAGATAAGATCCTGTCAACTCCTCTCCCAAGGGTGAATGTGGCCTCAAGCTGGCAAGTAACAGTTCTAAACAGGAGTCAGGAAAGTAAAAGACAAGTCTTTCCTCTGCCAGATTAGCTATATAGTACTGAATACAGCAGGGAAAAGCTCTACTTCCCATATCTGTAACATGTGAATATTAACATGAAAAAAGGTTTTCTTCCCCTACCTGTCAGGGAAGGCTGGTCTTTAACCTAAATGACCACTGCCTTTGTCTTGGTGCTTGCTTCTTACGGAAATGTCTTTGGAAATGATGACTCATGCAAACATTTCACAAATACCTCCTCATCACTCAAGCTACTTGAAACACTTATTTCTGTTGAGTTCATCCTACTTCTGGCACTTGAGTGCCTAGGAGTGCTTGGCCCCAGAGATGGCCTGTTTGTAAAGTCCAGCCACTCTCTGGCTGGATAATTGCTCTTTTGTGCATGTGTACACTGATCATGCCATCTCTGATGATCTCCATTACTGGGCTTTCAGGATCACCAGCCTTTTGCAAATGCCCACGATGTGCTGGCCCGCTCCCGCAGCCGAGCCAATGTGCTGAATAAGGTAGAATATGCCCAGCAACGCTGGAAGCTTCAAGTTCAAGAGCAGCGAAAATCCGTCTTTGACCGTCATGTTGTCCTCAGCTAATTGGAAATCAAATTGAAGGGGATTAGAAAGAAATGAGGCAGACAACTGAAAAAAATTGACTGAGTTTTCCTGGGTTTTGTTTTAATACCCTGTTGATTTCACCAACTCTTGCTGGGAAATTCAGAATTGGAAACAGAAATGTGCTTGGTATTTTGTTTTCTTGTTAACATATTAATACAGGCATTTTTAAGAGCACACACCTCAAAGTCAGCCAATTAACCTTTTTCCTATTTGTGACTTTTACTAATAAAAATAATTCTGCCTGTAAATTATCTTGAAGTCCTTTACCTGGAACAAGCACTCTCTTTTTCACCATACAGTTTTAACTTGGTTTTCAAGAAAATTTTCAGGTTTTTTTTTTTTTCCTTTCTTTCTTTCTTTCTTTTTTTCTTTCTGGCCGGAGAGGGGAGGGATGTGGTTAACATAACTTTTCTCAAGTCACTTTACTAAACAAACTTTTGTAA